AATATAAATGTATTTGATGAATATGCTGTGTGTAGCCTATCAACTGTGATGTAGGTTTGTGAAGATTGGCGCAAAGGGCTGTTTTTCCACTGTGTCAGTTCAATTGTCAACATTGAGGTAAAAGAAAATAATGTTTATGAAATGTTTGCGATGCTACGTGACTATTTGTGCATGTGTAAATCCAGCACTAATTTTAACGATTTTGTGTCTGCAGGCAGATTGCTCCTGCTGCTTTGCCTTGCCTAAATTACATGTATTATTAGTTTTGTTTCTTTAATATATATATATATATATATTTTTTTTTTGAGTTGCGCAGTGGTGATTTCCACCCACTGCTCTGTTCGATCGAGGCGGTGTTGGCTGTTCCAGCATTTTAGGATCTGGTCCAACTGAAACTATTCTGCTGGCGATAATAACTTTTCTGTCTTTACCCGCCAGAGTACCAGGGGGCTGTTCACGAGAGGTTCCTGGGTCCGTCTATGCGCACGGTGTATTAAATTGGTAAACTGCACTTCACCATATATTGATTGAATCACTATTTGCAGTGGTGGTGCCTATGTGTGCGTGTGGTTTACTTTAGGCATCAGAGTTCAGAGCACGGTTGGTGAGTTCCATGCTATTTCTGGACAGGTAACCTACCCTGACAGCAAACCAACATTTTTCTATTAATTTATACATCATTGCTGGTAACAGCCAACACCAGTCTGGGTCCTCCTCGTTTGCGGTCAAGCCTCTCCGCTTGTACTTCCCATGCCCATGGGATGATGCTGATGCTATTGATGATTTTAATTTTTATATGATTGATGGCTCAATAAAACGTTGTTACCTTTTGTACGCAAAACACGTCTCTGTATAGTTTCATCTTGGGTGCACAACCACGAACTTGTTTGCCTTCTATTAGAGATTCCGTAGTTAAGTACCAATATACATAAATCTTGGTGTGCGAGGCACCAGGTGGCGTAGTCGATTCGGTTCGGAGTCAGCCTAGGGGTGGGCGCTATACCGGTATGAACGTGAATACCGGTATTATGTTGTGCCATGATATGGATTTTGCGATACCGAGGATACCGTATTCATAAATTCAAATTTTGCAGTTATATTGTTTTGGTCAATTTGGTAGCCAACTCTTTACAACTGTTAACACTAATGACGATACAGAATCGAATACGCTGTTTAAGGAAATGGATGATTTGGCGCTTCATGCGTGAAGTTGCTGAGGCGATTAACCGCTGTCCTGTGACGCGTTCAATGAAGGACCGTATAACGTCGAACACATCGCTTCGCTAGTGCTAAGCGGCTGTTCATAAAGGATGCATCTTTTGCGGTGGAATGGGAAATAACAAGGTAATGAGACGCAAGTTTGACTTTTAACTGGAGCGCAGCATTTTTAGAATGCCGTTTCATTTGCGAGACGCGGGTGCAACACCACAACAAGTTCGTCAAGCACAACAAACGTTAAAGTTCTAGGCTACTGTATGTTTGAGATGTCATGTTTTCATGAAGGTTGAAAGCTGCTGTTATTATCTTTGTTTTTACAAAACATTTACTGCTAATAATATTATCCACGTGGAGACATTTCCCCGCAATGTAACGTTAGGCTATGAATAACAGACACGACACACACATAAGCGCGCGCATAGACACGACACACACATAAGCGCGCGCATACACACACACTGGTCCACTATCTTTGTGGGGACTCTCCATAGACGTAATGGGTTTTATACTGTACAAACTGTAGGCCTTTATTCTGTCTCCTTACACTAATGAATTAGTTTGTATGAAATTTTGCATTGTTTTTTTCTTGTATACTTTTAAGTTCTATTTATTTGGTGCTTTGTTCAATCTCAAACCATTATTTTATTTTTATTATTAAGATGTCTGCATAAGAGTTAACTGTAATCTGTGCAAACATTAAACTTAAATTAAACGTCTCGCTTTGGTCTACACTGGAAGTGTTCTGCTCGCTCTGCTAAAGCTAAACTATAATTACTAAAGCTGAAACTAAATAAAATAAAAACTATATAGAAATGTGTTTGCAAAATAAAACTAAATAAAAACTAACAAAACCATTAATGAAACTAGCTAAAACTAAACTGAAATTTAAAGCAAAATTGAAAACGATATTAAAATAAAAACTAATTTAAAAAAGCAAAACTATAACAACAGATATTCCCGGAGACAGAGCACACCCGAAGACGGCTCTCACTCAGAAATCAATAAAGTCTTCATTCGCTGCCGGTTCTCATTATGACAAGACGAGCAAAAAGTGGAAAGACATAACAAGTGCATTCAGGCCTACCTCATGTTGCATGTTTGCACTTTTTGAGAAAAAAAAATGGCAAAAAAAAACAAAAAAACATTTCAGGTCTATGTCCAATGAAATGCCTCACCTGTTTCTAGTTATCTACTGTTAAAATACATATTTTGCCTGTAATTTAACTAAGGTGTACTAAAATGTGATTCCAATTTTTTTTCTCATATCGCGATATAATATCGATATCGTCCGGACAGTGAAAAATATCGTGATATGAATTTTTGCTCATATCGCCCACCCCTAAGTCAGCCACGCTCGGGTCACATACAGATACTAGATATGTACTTGTGAAGTAACTTATAGTCAGCAGACTATCAATAGACTATCTATAGGGGGACCATCAAAATAAAGTAGGGCTGTCAGTTAAACGCGTTATTAACGGCGTTAACGCAGGATACTATAGGAGAAACGCGCTTTTTGGCCAAGCAAACTTTTGGTTTCGTTTTTTTCCAAATGCTTTTGCAACAGGACGCGGCATGTGCGGCGGTGCGCTATGAAACCCATTCATTTCAATGGCTTGTGCCGCGCGAGGACGTTTTGTTGCTTCTTCGACCACACCGCGGTCAAAATTCAAAATAGTTCAACTTTTGTACTTAAGTAGCTTTTTTGCGTATCTGTACTTTACTCAAGTATTTAAATTTTGGGAGACTTTTACTTTAACTCCATTACATTTCAAAGTCAAATATCTTACTTTTTCACTCTACTACATTTTCTAAATCAGTCGTTCCTTTTTATTTATGAGCTCGGATAAAAACGTAACTGGTCAAACGAGCCACCAATCACAGTACAGCGCGCGCTTTGTTTTGAACTTGCCTTGGTGGTATCTACTAAGCGCGAACCAGAGCCGTTAAATATGAGTTGCGAACATAGATAGTTGTTACAGTGATCTCGCTGCCGCGCGGTCACGTTATTCGTGTAGCTCTCAATAGTTCCAAACAAATCGCGTTGACAATGATCTTACGGCGGGACAGAGACCAGCAGCTATTATTGCAGCAATTATCAGTAGGTATTGACCCATAATGTACATTGCTTAGTTACGTTGCCACTAAAATGACTTGCATATAATAGCTTTTTTTTTCTGGGGAGTAGCCTAGCTGAAACTCTGCATTAATACGTTTTTGTGTTTAATTTTCGGAGGGAAATTGGCTGCTCCCATAACATAGAATATAGAATATATATATATATATATATATATATATATATATATATACAGTATATATATATATATATATATATATATATATATATATATATATATATATATATATATATATATATTTAATGGTGTTGTGCAGGTTTATGTGAATATATCATAACATTATGATGTTAATAATTATGACCATAGGCGCTGGAGAAAATTATATAGAGTAAATCCTGTAAATGTTTTATACCTTATGGGGAACAGTCACCTTCCCTCCAAAATTAAACACAAAATTAATTCAATTCAAATATATATATATAAAATATATATCAGACTAATGTCATTTCATTAATAGATTGGTGTGCCAAGAGTGACATTAGTCTTCACTTAGACTGAGTTAAGCAAGAGTCTTGTGACAAACTATAATAGGACATTATAGCCATAAAAAAAATCAAAGTACTTGGATACTCAAGTACATTTGAAGGCAAATACTTTTGTACTTTTACTCAAGTGAATGTTTAAAGGCAGCACTTCTACTTTTACTTGGGTAATATTTTACCTTGAGTATCTTTACTTTTACTCAAGTACATGGTATGTGTACTTCGTCCACCACTGCCACTTGATGGCCAAGCACACACACACACACACACACACGCCCGCGCGCGCACACACACACACACACACACACACAGCTGATGCGAATTCTCCGTCCCCTCGTCAATATCAGGACCTCGTATTATTTCTTTCACCCTTTTATTGATGGACAGTGTTACATTGTGTGAGAGATTATTTGCTCCAAGTGAGAATGTTTTAGTGTGAAATTGAACAGTATTGTCAATGTTGTTTTCAATAAAAAACATTTGCACAAAGCAAGCCGATCCAATTTTTTATGTTGATAAGTGCATTCAAATTAGAAAAAATGATGGGACAAAAAGAAATCAAGAGACATTTAGAATAGATAAAAATGTGTGATTAATTGCGAGCTAACTATGACATTAATGCGATTAATCGTGATTAAATATTTTTATCGTTTGACAGCACTACACTAAAATAAAGTGTTACCACTATATCTATAGAAATCTATATGTGTACCAAATGATTAATTGATTAACCATTAAGATCAGTTGGATTAAATAATAGACATGTATTAAACTGAACAAGAAGAGATGCAAATCAAAAGTTTGATAGTAATGGCATTATGAAAGGCAGCTACTTTGAATGAATCATTTATATAGATGAAACAGTTATTTTGTTTTGTGAAAAGGATCATTTGTGATTTTGAGTATTGTACAAAAACAATTTAAAACAAATTGAAAAGTGTCCTTTTGATGATCTGTTGTGATATTAGTACTAAGAGTTTTGAAAATGTACACCTTTAAAATAGTACCAAAGCGAATAAAAATAACTAAATTATAACCTGAATAATAGCCTTTAAATGTGTATTTTTACGCAAAATTTATGCAAAATCAATATAAAAGATAAGATCTGTAAGATCTCAATTTAACTGTAAGGTAAAAAATAAGTCAAATTATTATCTAAAATGGACTACAAACAATAGATTATCTGAGCAATAAAGAATATCAATAAATGAATCAAAAGATGAGTAAATTAATACCACAGTATGGATATATAAATTTGCAAGTTTATATGATTAAAGAAAAGAATAAAAAGAAAGACAATAATAAATGGATTATAGCACAAGTTTAGCTCTTTAAAGCATATGGTCAAATAAACTGTTCTGCTTTCCTGGTGTGAACCAAACAATAACCCCTGAGATAACATACATATGTGCACAGATGGCATTACAAAGTAATATCCCTTACTTCCCAGCAACAGAGTCAAATACAAAAAGAGTTAATGAAACATAATTTCTATAAATCGCCTCAAAAGGCTGAATGCTCTGTGTTTTACAATACTTAAGTAGAGCTGTTCTTCTCTCTTATATCAAGCACACATTAGCCATAAACATTATTTATAGGCCTGGCAAAATATTTTTTCAAATTGCAACACTGTTGGGGATTTTGTCTGGGGACAAATAACAATAATCAAATGCTAATCCCTCATTCCGGCTCTTGATGATGTTGGTCACCTCTTTTAGTTTCTTGCCGAAAGTCTTTATGGCTTCCTTCACTGGTTCCTCTGTGAAGCACATCTCTGGATACGTGCCTAAGAACCGCTGGGGGAAAAGTAAGTTCTTCAGAAAGCAGAACAACATCTTTCTTTCTTTTTATGAGATAAACTGACCCTTCTCTAAGCTCCGCCCCCTTGGTTACTATCAATCACCCAGACAAGCTTATAAAACTAACAAAGTATTGTGGATTCTTCTGGGATTATTCTTGGAATGAAGTCTGACATTGCAAAGCATTTTTATTTGCTGAGTTTCTTTAAAGAACTTGTAAAATAATGCGGTAACATGATTAAGAACTGCAGATCAGCAGAGATCAGAATTAGTGCAAATGCTTTTTACATTCAGATGAACAGAGAGAAGCCGATTACACCACTGTAAAAATATTATATGAACCAATAAGTCATATTTTTCCATTAATTTAACCAATTTTAGCTTAATTTTATAAGTTGTACAAGATTCAACACATTTTTTTAAGTCAATATTTTAAATAACAAGTTGATCTGACTTGTACAGCCAATTAATACGTTTTTAAGTTGTAGGTGGAAATGTGTTACAGAGAGCTGATAACATTAGTGTGAGTGAACAGAACTCTTTATAATTTTACTACTACATAATCACAATACTGGGAACTATTTTCTTACTATGCCCTCTGTGACCTTAATCAAAACTTAATAAATTAATTGTCAGTGTTATATGTGCTCCAGAAACAAGATAAATGATCTCTTCTATAACTTTTAGAGCATTTAGTTTAAATATATCCAAACACACAGGACGTCCATTTACTGACGAAGAGCAAACGCTTGCCTGTTAGAATTGGAAGAAATGTATTGCACTACAAAATACACAGAATACATTGCTTAAAATGTAAATTGTAACATATGAATTACTTATTCAACACTGTTTTGAATTTTAAAATGTTACATTTTAATATCTAACACCATTAAGTGAATAGATAAATATTATGTTACTCCCCAAACATGATGACTTTTTAAATTGGGACTTAGCAAAGGGTCAGTTAAAAGAATTGCACTACCTGACTAAAAAAATACTTGTATGTTGGCAGTGCCGCATAACACATACACTGTAGCAAGCAAACAATCTACAACAAAAAGAAGAATTGAAAATGTATTTGAGCCTACATCATTTTTTTTTTTAAATCATCTTTGGCCTTTTTTTTTAACTCATACTTTGATGCTCTGTTCCCTCAGCAAGTAACAGGTTAATTATTTTTCACACTGATTTAGACTAGACTGCTGTCATGTTCTCTATTCAAATCAGACATCAAACCTCTTTCTTCTGGAAGCGACTGAGGGCCCAAACGGTTCCTAGAGCCAAGCTGGAACATCCACGATCAGGCAGACTCTCCATGATATACTTCATGTCCACCTTGCCCTTCTGTTTGGGAGGCGGCTTGCGCATGATGGAAGGACTGTTGGGGATCCAGCCATACCAGTCAAACTGCAACATAAAAGTTCACTCACAGTTTTTATCTTATAGATGTTATCCATAATGTTGCCTAGCAATTTTTAACTCTCCTGCAGATGATATGAAAGTGTGTAATCTCACCTGTCCAAAGTTGACAGCAGCATGTTGTGCTGAAGTTATGAATATCACAACGGTCAGGTACTTGACTAACTCCTCTCGAGTTTTCAGAGAGACTGGAAACAGTGGAAGTACGCATTTAACTTGTGCACACATTTAAGGGTGACTTGAAACACACAAAGATGCATATAGAATATACAAGAATACAAACAATCATGCATGCTTCCACAGACCAACACTGACATTTTGGCCCTGTTTACACCTGGTATTAAGATGCGTTTTGGTTGATTGGATCACAAGAAGTTAATGGAGACACGTTCACGTTTACACCTGGGGCCTTATTTATAACCGTTGCGTACGCACAAAACAGGCCATGAAAGAGGCGTACGCCACTTGCGACGCATAAGTTGTGATTTATAAAAACAAACTTGACAGGAAAATTTGCGCAACAGGTCAACTTGGCAGTTTCTTGGAGGATCTTGATGTCCTACTCTCATCCTTCCCTGAAGATGGTACTCCTCTCATAGTTCTTGGTGACTTCAACATCCACCTAGAAAAACCTCATGCTGCTGATTTCCACACCCTGCTTGCCTCATGCGACCTCAAATGATTATCTACTGCGGCTACTCACAAATCAGGTAACCAATTGGATCTTATTTACACGCGCTACTGCTCCACTGACCATTCATTGGTCACTCCGCTGCACACCTCAGATCACTTCCTCACTCTCAACCTCAACCTGCCTCAGAACACAACACACACTCCTCCACAGGTCACCTTTCGGCGGATCCTACGCTCACTTTCACCCTCTCGCCTATCCTCTTTGGTCTCATCCACACTTCCTCCACCTGATCAGCTCTCAACACTAGATGCTAACAGTGCAACTGATACTCTTTTCTCCACTTCATCCTGCTTGGACAACTTCTGCCCCCTTTCCTCCAGGCCAGCCCGCGCCACACCCTCTACCCCCTGGTTATCTGATGTTCTCCGCGAACATCGTTCTAATCTCAGGGGTGCAGAGAGGAAGGGGCGCAAATCGAAAGATCCTACAGACCTTGGTCTTTATCAATCCCTCCTCTCTTCCTTCTCTGCTAATATCTCTACTGCTAAAATGACTTACTATCACAACAAAATGAACAATTCTTCTGACTCTCGTTTGCTTTTCATTTACATTTTACATTTAGTCATTTAGCAGACGCTTTTGTCCAAAGCGACTTACATCTGATGACTAAACCAAACGAGTCATTGTGAAGAGACAATAACAACCCAAGAAGTGCTCAAAGTACAAAGTTCAATCATTGCTCAGAGTAGCATAAACCAGACAAGTGAGGATTTAAAAAAAATAATAATAATAATATATTTTTTTTTTTTTTATGTCAAGTGCTCACGGAAGAGATGAGTTTTCAGTTTTCTTTTGAATGCTGTCAGGGATTCTGCATTCCGAATGAGGGTGGGAAGATCATTCCACCAGCATGGAACCGTGAATGAGAATGTTCTGGAGAGTGATTGTGGCTCTTTGTGAAGGTAATGACATGGCTTTTCAAAACCTTTTGTCCGCTTGATCCTATTCGGATTAATCTACTTCAAGCCATTTCTTCCTCAATTGTACCCACACTCACGCACATCATAAACACCTCTCTTCACACTGTACCTTTCCCACAGCTTTTAAGCAGGCTCGGGTAACCCCACTGCTTAAGAAACCCACTCTCAATCCAGCACATCTGGAAAATTACAGACCGGTATCCCTTCTTCCATGCGTCGCAAAAACACTTGAACGAGTTGTTTTCAACCAGATCTCTTCCTTTCTTACACAGAACAACCTCCTGGACAACAATCAGTCTGGTTTCAAAAGCGGACACTCAACTGAGACTGCCCTGCTCTCAGTAATTGAAGCTCTGAGACTGGCAGGAGCAGCTTCCAAATCCTCAGTTCTTATCCTGCTGGATCTGTCTGCTGCCTTTGACACAGTTAACCACCAGATCCTCCTGTCAATCCTAAAGATGAAGGGCATCTCGGGATCCGCACTCCAATGGTTCAAGTCTTACCTCTCAGATAGGTCTTTTAGGGTGTCGTGGAGGGGTGTGGTGTCTAAGACCCAACATCTAGCTACTGGGGTAAGTCAGAGCTACTTGTGGTCCCGGCCAACCCAACACTTCATCACAACTTGTCCAGTGAGGCTCATCATCCATAACTCCATCAAGGTCAGCCAGGAAACTTTACAGGTCACATTGCTAGAACTGCCCGGTCATGTAGATTTGCCTTGCACAACATTAGGAGGATCAGGCCCTTCCTAACAGAGCATGCTACACATCTGTTTGTCCAAGCGCTTGTTCTATCCAGACTGGTATTGTAATGCTCTCCTGGCTGGTCTTCCAGCTAGCTCTGTCAAACATCTGCAACTGATCCAGAATGCTGCAGCCAGAGTGATCTTTAATGAGCCAAAGAGAGCACACGTCACTCCTCTCCTCACAAAATTGCACATTAATTTCAATGCTCTCGGACCTTTACCATGACTGTTCCCTGCTGGTGGAATGATCTGTCCAACTCAACCAGAGCGGAGTCAGTGGCCACTTTCAAGAAACAGCTGAAGACGCATCTTTTTCAGCAGCACTTGATCCAGTAACACTAACACTTTATATTCTCTTCTCTTCTAATTCTATTTTTTTATTTAAAAAATTAAAAAATTACATGGACATAGATGAAACTGAGGAGGGAGGAGGGAGGGGGGGAGGGGGAGGGGGAGGGGGGGGAGGGGGAGGGGGAGGGGGAGGGGGGGGAGGGGGAGGGGGAGGGGGAGGGGGGGGGCCTGCTAAATGAATAAATGTAAATGTAAATTAATAGATTTAAAAACTCCACTTTCAGTAAAAAGTGGTCTTAATCTAAAATAATCATTATCAATTCCACATTGCCCATAAAAAGACTGGTCATGCGGTGTAAAATAGGCTGTGTTTTAGTGACAGTTCTTAGTTTTTAGTGACTTGCATTCGACAACATGAGCGTCTACACTATGAAAGCAATCCAATTAAATGGATTTTCGACAACCACTGCAATATAAGGTGCTAAAAAAATGAAAATTTAATATCAGATAGCCCACAATCATTATGCTACATCATATTGCCTTCTACTGGATGTAAAATGCTCTGTAGTAGGCTACATTTTGTCTTTTTATTTTTTATATTATAACTACATCTGTAGTTATTTTGGTGAAAGTAACTCAAAAGTAATACAGGAGTAATGTAACTCATTACAATTCTGAGACAGTAATATTGTAAGGTAATTAATTACTTTTAAGTAACAGTAACAAGTAATCTATAATGTATTACAGTTTGGAAGTAACTTGCACAACACTGGTCTACACTATGAAAGCAATCCAATTAAATGGATTTTCGACATCCTCTGGAAGTGGTCGAAAGTGGACAAGCTAAAAACATTTAGACCCCGTTTACACCTGTGTTTAGCGTTATCCTCTTGTGATGCGATTGACCAGGTGTAAACATGGCCTTTGATAAGTTAAACCTGTTCTCACTGGGAGATTTTTTCATGCCAGTGTGGCAATCCTCAACAAATCCTTGAATCTCCTCATCTCCTTGAACTTTCTCATCGCTGTCATAGTAGATGTTGACCACAGCAGACACAAAACTACAGAAAGATCAAAAAGATGACAAATTAATAAAAATAACTTTTTATTGGAGTGTATGTGGACTAATTTGTACTTTTGCACTAGTAGTACATGATCTGAACTGTTGCAACACCTACTTGTGTATTGCCTCCCAGATCTTCATGCCATCATCTCTATAATAGTACTTGGGCGCATCTTTCATTCCTCGAGCTTCTATGGTCTCAGGGAAGCACAGGGACTCATGGGATAAAGTCTCCATGGCTCTTCTAATCACTTCATTTATCCCATCTTTAGTGAGGCTACTAATCTGTGGATACCAAGAAATCAGTTAATATTTTGCCTAAATATTTTCGGCACTTATTTAGCTACTCGTTGACTTTTTGAAATTTAGGAACTATTAGGTCTGTCAGTTTAAGCAAACACCAGTTAACTATATACAAGGTAGTCTATGAAATAGAAGTAAGAGCATTCAGCAAAAAGACAGAATATCACAAGCCAGAAAGTCAGGTAATGGCTCAGGCCATCATGAAGGTTTGTTAACACTGTGTGCGTCTTTAAACCTATATCAAGGACAGAATTTATGGTTTGCCAGACAAAGACTAAATAATCAAATATGAATAGAATCGCTTTGAATCCTAGAAATATGCTGTTTATGTGTGGATATATTAAATTAGGTGTAAAGCTACCTTGGTGATGATCCCGTCTTTACTGATGAGTCTTTCACGAGCCACTGCATTGATTGCAGTTGTGAAACGAACATGAGGTTTCAGTAACTGTAAGAAGCATTTAAACATGTGCATCATAAAAACTGATTTAAAAGCATAACCTGAAACAGCTAAAGTGGTTTCCATGTCATTCCCTGGAGGTTTTAGGTTAACATTAAACCATGGATGAAAAGAAGTTAAGGATATCAGAACCAGCAACCCTTCATCAATAAATTGACATATGTGAAACTACAATCTTCAGTTTAGCCCTGAATCTAAATATCATAACTGTGTATTGAGAGACATGTACCTTGTATACAGGGTGGACTGGAGGGAGCTGTCTGTGCATGGCAATTTCAAAAACCTCTGATATCAGATGTGTCCTGAGAAAGTGCGTCTCCAACTGGTGTACAATGAAGTCGGCAGATTTCACCCACATCTTGGCAAGCATCCAATCATATTTATTATCATTCGGGAGAAAGATTGGGCTCTTTTCCCCTGGAGTTTGACTGAGCTGATTCAGATATAATAAAGCCAAACAGGATATGTTTACTTCGGTTAGTAAATTCACAGCAAAGGCACTTTTATTTTTAATTTATGTTTTCATTTGATACTGATTATATATGCGACAGATACCTGAATGGCAATTGGCACAATTTGGTCCAGTCTGTTCTTGTACAGCAGGCAGAGGGGTGCAGTCAGACAGACCTGATCGTTGGCTGTTAGGACTCCCTCCAGTATGTCATAATCCACTATGTAGATGTTTCCCGCCTGTAAACATGTACACAGGTGCAAAGTTTAGAAGTAATAGTTCATGGGTTGAAATAACATTGATTTGAGTCATTTATGTAAACTAAATTATGTGAAGGATGTCAGAATACACGCAAGTAAGTCTTGAATTTGATAACTGACCGACTGTTCAAGTGATTAATGTCTTAATGTTTCTGACCTGTAATTCCTCTTGTAGTGTGACACCTTTCTCCAGAAAGCCCTTCACCATCTCATGTGTGACTGGAAACTTGTCTGGAATTTCCTTGCACTTCCTGATCATGACAGGATTGCAGCCGTTCAAAAACTGATAGCCGAACATGTAATCCTTATTCCAGTCTTGCATCACTTTCTCTGTTCAGATTTCAAAAGGGAAATTTAGTCAACTGTCTTAAAAGGTATGAAAAAACGTGCTTCTGCTTTGTTGGTTTCTTACAACAATTGATTTTTTTTTTTTTTTTGGGATATATAGTATTAGTTTAAATGAAGAAACAAACCTAGTAGAGTGTCCTTGTAATTAAAATTTCCCAATAAATTTTCAAAATCAGCCACGTCTTTCCAGGAATTAAATAAACCTCTAACTTTGTCAAGAAATGATTCCCCAATCCTGAAACAGAGTACATACTGTATAATTATAGACATGAACACTATTTGCACAAATATCATTCTGGAGAACTGAGGAAAATCTCAGTAACAAATCAACAAGGACTATGGATACAAACTTACACTTTCAGGAAATTGGAACGAAACTCGAAACTTTTTGCTGAATCGAACTGAACTTTTGGAGGGAGATCATCCATGCTCTTAGGGAAGCCTTTGTGCCACTCTTTCCAGCTTCAACATGAAAAATGAAAACATTTACTGGAACAGTCACACTGTCATGTACACTTATGTTAAGTTAGTTTCACTTTCATGGACTTTTAGTTTGTTTATCATCAGTTTCCTGTTTCCTTTGTCTTAGTTTCCAAAAGTCTATCACCATCAAACAAACAAACAAACAAACAAACAAACACACAATAAACATATCTCCACTAGAGTCAACCGTTTATCTCAATGTTTATAGGACGTTTGGAGTGTCTATCTCAAACCCTCTAGCGCCACCTACTGTGCAGACTGACAAGAGTGACGGTAAGACGAATATGTAAATGTGCTGCGCGCTTTGAAATGCAAATGAAATCCCTTGAGATAGATCAACGTTATAATGAATAAAAACATATAGGCCTATATAATTGAATGATACAAATAATAAATAATATGTTGACAAATAATAAGTTGATAACAAAAGATAGCCTATTAGCCTATATACTTTGCATAAAAAATAGATCGTTATCCAGAGAGCGCTCAGTCTCTCTAGGCAGACTTTTTCCTTCTAAATAATTTGTATAAACTAATTATCTCAGATGTAGTTTTAGACAATGGTGTGAAAAGCAACTATGATGAATAAAAATTTACTTGACTGAGGCGTGAATAGTAATTAGTTTTAATGCCATTTTTATTGTTGAAAATGTCTATCTTAGCTATATTAGAATGAATGCTTCATGCTTGTGTAAAATAATGCATCACATTAAACAGCATATAAATCAAAACGGACTAATGTTACTGAATGAAATGTCGACCCAGGGCGAGCTTTAGGACTGTGTCTGAATCCGAAGCAGATGTAGCCTTTAACACGTGATTTTCTTAATTTGTGCTCAAAATGTTACTTTTTTGAATGAAACTTAAAAAAAAAAACTAAAAAAAAAACTTTTAAAACCATTAAAAATTTTAATGTTTCCAAACTTTTGACCAATAATGTATTCTATATAATAATGGAAATAAATAATAATAATAACTTAAAATAAAAATAATTAAGTCTTTAAAGTACTTACCCTTTTAGACGGAACAAAAACATCAAAATAGGATTTGTTGACCAGGACTCTGTCACTGCTCTGCTCCTTTGAGTTTATCAGCGTCAGGTAAAGGCTGTTCGTTTTCTCAGGAATCATCTGTCTGTAAGTAGAAACAGTCACCTTGTAGGTCAACATCTTGCCTGAATGAAAGATGTAAGATCTCTGGATCCTCAGTTTATTCTTAAGCACCTTTATATGGAGTTCACTTCCGGCGCTACTCCCCCCTCCTGTGACTTTATAATGTGGGTTTGGTCTTTCAATCAAAAATGTCATGTTCATACCTGCATATGTGATCTATATCACGTTTCTGAACTTATAAAAGAGACATGAATAGCCTAGAGGTATTCCTGTGGTACAGACAATCCCCTTTCACTCATACACTTTTACAATCACAATTGCCATTCCTACCCTTCTCAATAATATCATTAATATAAAAGTGAAGAGTAAAATAAGAGTGTATACATTAAATCTAATTTAATTTGGATATGCAACTTTCAAAATGCCCTCCTGCAATGTAGCCTACAGTAAATGTGGGTCAAAACAAAGGGTAAAAATCTCCCTTGGAGATCCTGAGGAGAGGAGAGACCTTCTGTCTCAGGCAGGGGGCCCAACTTATAGAGAGTGGTTTCTCAACTGAGATTGTTGAGACTATCCTAAGCTCCAGAGCTCCAGCTACTAGGAAATGATATGCACTAAAGTGGAGAGTTTTCACTTCTTGGTGTTACCAACATCAGTGGGATCCAGTTAACTGTTCAGTTAATACCTTACTTGAGTTTCTTGCAAAATCGCTTTGCATCAGGTCTATGTCCTTCCATCGGCCCAAGCTGATTTTTTACATGCATTTTTTAATTCTCTTTGCTATTTGGGCTTATTGGAACCTAATTAGAACAAAAACTAAGAATCATCTTTTGATATGATGTACTTTTCGAGAAAAATGATGTCCACATATGTGGACTCACGGTCCGAATTTCCATAAAACACAATAAAGTCACCTCTGTGTAATAGAATGAAAAACGTCTCAGGTTACGTATGTAACCCTGGTTCCCTGAGAGGGAACGAGACGCTGCGTTTGAGATGCGGTGGGAACGCTCTGCGTGATTGCGTCATGAAGCACGTGTAAAATCAGTCCAATGGAAGCCCGATACGTCATGGGTGACGTCATAGACCAGGAAACTATAAAGCACCCTTGAAAACAGACCGCGACAGCTTCTGAAAAAGTCTGAAGCAAGTCGATCAGGGCATGCAGGAAGTATGGCAGGCAAATGCAGCGTCTCGTTCCCTCTCAGGGAACCAGGGTTACATACGTAACCTGAGACGTTCCCTTTCAAGGGAACTTCGAGCTGCGTTTGAGACGCGGTGGGAACCCCATACCCACTACGCCATAGTGACAAATGCCCGTTCTGTGTGAAGTCCTTGCGCACACTAAGAAGCAAGCAACCTCGCCCCAGGAGTGGAGAGGTCAAGGTCATAAAACCTGACAAATGTATGTGGAGAGGACCAACCTGCCGCATTACAAATGTCAAGAAGGGAAACACCCGAAATTAAGGCCGTAGAGGCCGCCATACTCCTTGTAGAATGGGCCCGTACAGCCATAGGTGAAGGCTGACCGGCCGCTTCATAAGCCAATGATATAGCCTCGACTATCCATTTGCTCATAACCTGTTTAGATGCAGGGCACCCTTTTCTGAGTGACCCAAAACATACAAATAACTGCTCTGACTTACGCCACAGGGCAGCTCTGTGAACGTAGGCATCCAATGCCCGAACTGGACATAACAGGTTCAGTTGTTCCTGATCTGGGGTATTAAAAGGTGGAGGATAAAAGGCCTGCAACACTATTGGGCCCCCAACATTAACTGGGACCTTAGGAATATAACCCGGTCTAGGGTATAGAAATGCTTTCACCATACCAGGTGCAAATTCCAGACATGACGGAGCAACCGACAGGGCATGCAAATCTCCAATTCTCTTGATAGATGAAATAGCAAGGAGAAATAAAGCTTTCAAAGTGAGGAATTTTTCTGAAACCTCTTCAATAAGCTCGAAGGGAGCCAGAGCCAGACCCTCAAGTACAATGGCTAAATCCCAAGCCGGTGCTCTAGAGTGCAGTGCAGGTCTCAACCTCAATGTACCACGGAGAAAACGAATAATCAGAGGATCTCTCCCAATAGAAGTACCCCCCAGAGGGGTATGATAGGCCGAAATAGCCGCCACATAAACTTTTAAGGTGGAAGGAGATAATCCAGCAGAGAAACGGTCTTGCAGAAAATCGAGAACTGAACCAACAGGGCAGTTAACAGGATCTAACTGACGCTCACCACACCAGGTGGAGAATAATTTCCATTTCAGTGCATACAGTCTTCTCGTGGAAGGAGCTCTGGAATGGAGAATGTCTCAACGACCTCAGTAGAGAGACTGGATTCTATGAGCCTGGCCCTCTCAGAGGCCAGGCCCACAGTCTCCACAACTCCGGTCGAGGGTGAAATATCGTGCCCCCTGCCTGGGACAGCAGGTCCCTCCTGAACGGAATCTCCATGGGAGAGCCGTCCAGAAGAGACAAAGTCCGAGAACCAAACTCGAGTCGGCCAGTATGGGGCTACTAGTAGCAGATGAGCCCCTTCCCGGCGAACCCTCTCCAGAACCTCCGGGAGCATAGATATCGGGGGAAATGCGTACAGGTGCAGCCTCGGCCACACCTGCACCATCGCATCCAGTCCGAGAAGAGCTGGCTGCGTGAGGGGGAACCATATAGAGCAATGCGTTGTACAAACGATGTGAAAGGTCGACATGACTTTAGTTAGACCAAAGTTCTCCCTAAGAAGCTCCACCACCTCGGGGGGAAGTCTCCAATCCCCTGGGCCTCAGCCCCTGCCTCAACAGGATATCTGCTCTGATATACGAGACCATCAGTGTGTTGTCCGCCATTCGCCGAGCGACCACTCATGATCGCCCCCACTTGTGAGGGAAGCATCCGTCGATAGCAATATGCGTCGACAAGAAGCCCCCAACACTGGGCCTGGGCGAGGAACCAAGGTTCTTCCACATGACCGAAGCACGAAGGCATAGCCGCGTGACCTTGATCATGCGAAAACGTATTTCCCCTCGGAGAAAACCCCTTGGTCCTGAGCCACCACTGCAGGGGTCTCATGAACAGAAGGCCAAAAGTAATACGTTGGACGCAACTGCCATGAGACCCACCCGTCTGAAACTGTTTCACAGTGAGTGACTGGCCTAGATATACCCCATTACGGCTGTAAGAATTGCTACACCTAGAAAAGTGGTCCTCAGAGCACACTCTTCTTGGCGTTGAGAGGCAACCCCAACATCCTTAATGAGACAGAACGACATCTCGATGCCGAACTGCCATAAACTCAGATTGAGCTAGGAACAACCAATCATTGATGTAGTATAATACGCGAATGCCCTGGAGTCTCAGAAGAGCCAGAGCTGCACCCACGCATACTGTAAAGGTGTGGGGTAATAAACCTAGGCCGAATGGAAGAACCCGATAATGGTATGCTTCGCCCCCGAAAGCAAACCTCGGGAACCCCCCTCATCCTCTTTCGGAAACAATGAAGTAATGGCTGTCTGCTGGGAGGAGGAACCCCTTCTACAGCTCGTTTTGCAGAAGTGACAGTACTTCCTGCTCCATAACCAAAGCCTGCTCGGGGTCCACCAATGAGAGGAGGACCCCTAGAAATCTGGGCGAACGAGAACCGAACTGAATTCTGAAACCCTTTTCTATAGTGTGCAGGACCCACTGAGAAATATGTGGCAGTAGTTTCCACGCTGCCAGAAATTTACTAGGGGAACCAGTCTCTCAAGACTGGCCTCTGGATTTGTTTGAACAGTCACTACGGCGCCCTGAAGCGGCGAACCGGCAGGGAACAACCGAACTGACCATTCTACGACCCTCCTCGGAGGATCGTATGGGGATGCTGACAC